TAGTTTTACTCTGATTTCAGTGTTTATTTGTGAGTGTAGTTTTTACATTTTTACATATTACATTGTGTTAATCCACTGTCTATACTTCAGGGTATTTTAGTATACAAAGAACATTTTATAGTTTTGTTAGAATGTCTATTCCTGTGGAATTTTAGCACAGATGTGTTGTGTGTGTGTGTGTGTTTCCTGCTGTCCGCCTTGGGAATAAACTTTTCCTGATTATACCTGTTGCATCTCTGTGTCATTTGTTTCTGATTTACTTAATCACTCTGTTATGTTGAAGTTGCCTCGTTCTAATGTTTTCTCTGAGGCTGCTGTAAATGCGAATATATTTACTGTGGGTTTTTCTTGAAAAAGCTTTACGTTGTGAAAAACTGAAATCTTGAAATTAGAATTGTTGTGCCTTATTTTGTGGATCTTTTTTACATATATTCCTTTTGAAAATACTAAAATTTGTATATTTATTTATTTTTGTTTGTCTGATAGCATTTATTTATAAAATAAATCGGACATTTCAAACAGTTACTCGCTACTTACTCAGTACTTGAGTAGCCTTTTCACCAAATACTTTTTTACTCTTACTCGAGTAACTTTTTTGATGACTACTTTTCACTTTTACTTGAGTAATAATATTTTAAAGTAATGATACTCTTACTTGAGTACAATTTTTGAATACTTGACCCACCTCTGGCTGTAGGCTGTGTGACATCAACTTTTGATGTTTGAAACATCAACTGCAGCTCTTCATCATGCCACAGGATGGAGCTTTGGCACAAAACACCCACATAACCACTTCCCATAGTTCACAGTCACTGAAGAGGTGAACTAATGGGAACACCAAGTCAGTTGTGGAAAGAAGATAGAACGGACATGATAACTTTTAGTATTGAGTACATTTCAAGTCCACAGTGGAATAAATCACTGACAATCCTGAATACTGAAGTAAAAAAGAATGTTGAATCCCTCCTGAAACAAGAGTCTCTGTGTATTGATGAACATTCATGTATTTCTGAAATATCAGATAACTACCAACTACCAATAACAGCAGTTATCTTCACATCAATGCAGACACATGGTTACCAGAAGCTTCTGGCTGATCTAATTGGCTGACTATTGTTTGTCATCAGTTTCCATTCATTGCTTCACTGTGAAAACCAGCCAGTGAGGAGGAGCTTTACTTTAATACCAAATGTATTTAGCACAATACTGCTGAAATTCACATGGACTAAATTGAACCCTATACTGACCTCAAATCCTCTAGTGTGGACTTTTTACAAAAACAGCTGCTTTATATCTGGACTGCAGGTCCAGATGTTCCAGATGGGAGGGGCTGGACTTTAGAGCTGAGACCAGAGCAGCACACCTGATATCTGAAAACCTGAAGTCCCATGGTCTGAATGAAGAATACAATATTTAGGTGAATCACTTCTGTGGCCACAGGTGTATAAAATCAGCACCCCGGCATGCAGACTGCTGCTACAAACATCTGTGAAAGAACGACTCGCTCTCAGGTGCTCAGTGAACTCCAGTGTGGTACCGTAATAGGATGTCACCTGTGCAACAGGTCCAGTCAGGAAATTTTCTCGGTCTCTTGTGCATGTTACTGTTGTTGGGCAGCAACAACATGTTCAAAAGATTGGTCTGTAACATACGGTGGCCCTGAGAGTCCAAACGGACTGCAACTTCAGAAAACACTTATTTATGTGCAAATGTTTAATAATGAAGAACATTAAAACATTACTGTTGGCCACATGCCGGCAAAGTTATGTGACATTAGCGATGTTTGTACGTACAGCGTTTACTTTGTTTTAAAGCCTTTAATTTATACGCCGTTCGATAGTCGACCTTAATCTTACAGAGAATCTGATGATTTTGTGGATAATTAAAGTCAGTCATATATCCACAAACACAACAAGCTGAAAGTCAGTGATGCTGCTCGGTTTGCAGTCCTGAATATCACGGCACAAGCAGGATTCACTGCACTGTTAATGTTAGCTATGTTATATTGCTGCCTCTGTTCGGTGGTGTCGAGCCAAACGGACTTTAACGTGTGTTTGAACGAGCTGACGGTTCACTCGTTAAGCTGAAAGAAAGATGCTTTAATCACAGGAGTCACACATGTGTCCACTGTACCATCTGGGAACTCTTCTTGTTTAGCACTCGTAATAACACAAACACTAAATCCTCCTTCTCTTGTGCTGTTTTGTAGCAGTGTATACACCTGAGACTGTCACCTGTCTGTCTGTCCTGCACTCTCTCTCTTTTTCTTTCTCTCTGATTGTGGAATAAAAGTATGAACATGTATTTATAAGTTACACTTGTGTTTGAATCCTGCAGCTTATCACACATTTGATTTCCATGTGTGACAACTGCAAGTGTCCAGAGTGAGGACAGACTGAGGGACCCACTGCTGCACATCATCTGTGAGGCTTTGCACCCCTGATGATCCACCAGGACAAACTCAGCAGTGTGTGAGGAAGAGGAGGAGGAAGAGCCAGCAGCAGCTGACAGATGGAGAGAATAGACAGACTGTTCCCTGTTTGTGAAGGACTGCTAGAAAAGTTTAAATAACTAATTGTCTGTCCTGAATCAGTCTTATTAGGTAATGTTCAAATAATTTTATCATTCCAGTGTTTTCAGTGTGGGAGAAAGTACTCAGGGCCTTCAAGTTACACACTATGAAAGGCAGCAACAAGTTTAATATTCAGAAACCTAAAGTATGTATCAGCAGCAGAATGGAGCTAAAAATAAATGTTTGTTTCAGTTCTATGAAGCTTTGAGTATTTTGGATTAGTAGCACTGCTGTGTTTGTTGCATCATATTGCTGTAATTGTTTATATGCTTTATATATTCTGAGGTAAGTTGATCTATAGTGTTACATCATATTCTATAAGGATGTTATGTGTTTGTATACTTTCTGCCCAGTTTGACCCATTTAGCAGAAGTCAGCCTGTTTAAGGCTCTGATATCTATTCTGTATGACTTAAAGCAGTTATGACATGGTCTGATTTTCTCACCCAATAAAGGAATATTTCATATATCAGTCTACTCTTCATTTTATCAGAAACAGTTATCACAGCTCGTACATTTTGTTTTTACACATATATGTAAGCATTGAGCCAAATTTAGTAATGCCAACATATTAAAAGAACAATATTTGTCTCTTATATGTAATAGATCTATAGATACACTGTCAAAGATACTTGTCTTTGAGTGAAGATTTAAGGTGATGGGAAATATAAATAAATGCAACTCTACTCTTTACTGAAGCTCAGTATTTGACACGGAGTTCAAAATCACTGCTGTAATAACTAATAATGATTAATATAATAACTATAATATTGGCCATATTATATTTACATTACCAAAGTGAGATGACTTTAGTCTCATGAACAACATTAGCTAATTGTTATTTACTAGCTAATCTTAAACGACTGTTCAGCACAGAAATGAAGCCCAACAATCATTTTTTACAGTCCTGTGGTCTCAGCCTCAGATACTTATCAAATCACACAAAGCTCATGTAGAAACAAATGTACAAAATATGTTCTCCTTCATTTCTGTCAAACAAAGCTGTATGAAACGTTTCCAGCTGTTAGTATCATGGTTGCTAAGCAACTTGGGCAGCGCGATGGAGGCCAGTCCGTCCCATTTCACAAGCCTACAAGCGTCGCACTTCCGGCCTCAGCAGTCTTTGAGTACGCGGCCCTTGAGGACCGTTAAGGCTGCGTAATTTAAGGCTGCAGACCCTGAATTGGGATAGAGCCATACATACATGTTTTGGTTCGTGCAACTGGTCCGTCGGGTTATTGTCTCCCCAGAAACATTTCCGTTGTGTTTTGTGTGCTTTTGCAGCGTTTTTCTTTTTGCAGGTGTTTTTCTTTTTGCAGTGTTTTTCTTTTTGAAGCGTTTTTCTTTTTGCAGCATTTTTCTTTTTGCAAGTGTTTTCTGAAGTTGCAGTCCGTTTGGCCTCTCAGGGCCACCGTACTAACACACCCATACATTTGTAGAAAAACAATGGGACAGACAGTCTAAATTATTTGTTGATGATGTCATTTTGTTTATTGCATAATCAAACTGGTTACAGCATTCTCACATTATCAGTGTGTACAGTAAAAAAAACTAAAGCAGCAACATTCTTAGTGAAATTAAATGAACCCAATTTATGAAGTATTACAGTTTCATGTGTGAGAACAGTTTACATTTTGGATACAGGTTTTTCCAAATGCAGACCTTGTTGACTCTTTAATTTCTCTTTAATGAAATTATGGACTTAATTGGTAGATTGTTATGGCCCTGGCCATAATCTGTCTTGGTGGCTGTTTCTTTGTCTGTGTCTTTAAGTCTCTGCAGGTCCCTGATTGGATGAGCTGATGGCTGCTGATTGGCCCCCTGATCATATGGTTGCTTCAAAATCTGTCACCAGCAGTTGTCCCGGGGCAGCCACTGACAGCAGCAGCAGACCTGACCCTAGCCTCCAAAACCTGTGACATTTGTGCCTGTGACTTTTGCGACTTGCTGAGTTCTGTATATAGTGTGCACATCAGTTTTCACTGTAAATAGCACATTGTAAATAGCACTGGAACAGAAGGGGTGAGCTGCCTTATTGTTTTTCCTTGCACAGTTTTCTCAGTTAGGGAGTTAGGTGTAATGCTTGTCTTTTGTTTGGTTTTTGATTTCACATAGGGCTTTAGAAAATTCAAATTCAAATTTTATTTGTCACGTACACAGTCATACACAGTACGATATGTAGTGAAATGCTTGGACAACTGCTCGTGACCTAAAGAAAACAAAAAAGGAAAAGGCTATGAATAAGATAAGAAATAAATATGAAAAATTAAAAAGGGTAAATTTAACTAGGAAGGAATAAAATATAAATTAAGGTTAAAAATGAAATAACTGTACAACATAAATTAGAATGAAGGGTAAATTTAACTGGGAAGAATAAGATAAAATATATAAATTAAAGTTGAAAATAAAATAACTGTACAACAAAATACACAATATAGAACTATATAAGCACCTCCTCCTGACTTAGCTTGTTTTGTTTGTTATTTTGGCCTTTGTTCACCCCGGAGCTTCATTTTTCAGTGTAGACAAATAAACTACCGTTCACTAAGAAATTGGTTTTCCCTCTGTGTATGGTTTTGGGGACCAGGGCGGGGTCAATCTTTTCAACTCTTATGTTGCGTTCCTGTACCCCTAGACTGGGGCGTGACAAGATCTATCTACTGTAACTGGAAAACTAAACAAAGAGTCGTTAATAGAGAAAATATTCTGGAGCTTAGAAAAGAAACTATTACATGACTTATTTGTAAGTGAGTCATTTCCCGACACCACTCCTGAATGTAGGGTTCCCCCACCCTACTGTTAACTTTACAGATTCTCACAGTCGTCTTCACCTCTTTGTGTCTGAGGGTTTGTGTTCATTCCTGAAGTGTGGAGGAAGATTTTTAGAGTTCCTAGACAGACTGAATCCTGGAGATTCTGCTCTGTCCTCCTTTTCAATCCACATCGTCAGTTGGTCTGAGAGAGAAAACATCAAAGTTAAAGCTTTAAGGTAAATTTCAAAACTTAAATTTAATACTCACTGTAAAACTTTTTATTTGTCATTACATATTGCATTATTTTATAATTAAAACATGAGGAATTCCATTTTGCTATAGTAGCATGCACCCTACTGGCATTGCAGCATTATTTTGAGTGAGCCATTATTTTGTAGTACCGTCTCCAAATTGAAGGCCAAGTTTCATATAATGGGGGATGTCAGAAACACAGCACAAAATGGTTGTTCCAAAAAAGACAACCATTTCCTAAGCACTTAAGAACCGTAGGTGGTTTTCTACAGATTTGCACAGTCCAAACAGACTGCACACAGCCAATCTCAGGTCTTATAGGGCTGCCAGTAGGCCAGCGTGACTGCACTACACCATCAAGCACAAATTTCCTTACTGGGAATTAGTTTAATTTTAGCAGCTTCAGAATGTGAACTAACATTCAGTCATTAATTTCTTTTTGTTTTTATCTAAAATTCCAGCATAATGATGAACACATTATTAGAGATGGCACAATACCACTTTTTAACGTCCGATTCCGTTACCGATATCATAAATTTGGATATCTGCCGATACCGATATGAAGCTGATATAGTGTATTTTATAATCAATAAAACTTTTTTTTAAAAAATATCTGCATTTTGTATAAGTTAATACTCGAGTTTTTAAAAAACAAAACACTAAAGCTATTCTGTTATACCTCTACTTAGTGGAAATATTAAACAAACAAACTAACAGGCCCTCTTCTCTGGGCCTGGACTCACATGTAAAGTCTTTGTCTCGTTCCTTTATTTAAAACTTTATTATTTAAACAGGCCTTCCGTTAATCAACACTTTTGAATTGTTTTGAATTTGCATTATTTATATTGTCTATTTTATTACTCAATGTTTTCTTTATTTTAACCTTTGTGTACAGCGCTTAATAAATAAACCTTACTTACTTACTAATAGGGTTGCCAACTCCCAGCAAAATGCTTAATTAACGTAATCGACTTTAATTTAATGCACGTGTAAAATAAATGCACAGAAATCAATTATTTTTGTAAAAATAATTAAATCGATTCAACATCTTTCTTCAACAGAATTGCAGACTGCACAGATGGTAATATAAAGTAATATAGCTTACTAGGGTATATATTAGACTTAATAGTTACTATATACACTAATGGACTTCTATACATTTTACATCCGATGAAAACTTTGGAGGTAAGATTCAACAACAAACAAAACAACACACAAAACAAAACAATTCAAATAATTATTTATTAAAAACTAGACACTTTAAATGATAATAACAAAGAAAAGTATTTCTTTGAGCCCCCATTTCCCTGTTAAAGCCCTACCTGGCCCCCTGGCAAAACTTTGCTACACCCACACCTGCACAGTTACCAACTGCTAGGTATGTAGAAAGTAATATTAAATAAATTCTAACAACAGCTTATCAAGCTTAAACGTTTCTGGTGCAAAGTGGGCAATAAACAAACAAGAGAGACGGGACTCGTGACAGAAAAGCCAATCAGCTAGTCATTGATCAGTTCCATGATTGAAGTAGCAACAGGAGGGGGAGAGAAGGTTGTTAAGCTTACCATGGGAATGCTTTACAAACATTCAGTGATGAACTTACACACTTGGTTTACTTCTCATGGATATCTTTCTCGGAGATGAAATGCTGGTTTGATAGCGAGGCTCCAAATGCTCAACTAGACTGCGAACAGGTCTCACACGCCACAGCGGCTCTATCACGTGACGCATACTGCTCCGACGTGCTAAGGTCATGAGCTGGGTTACGACATGTCGCAAGTTTTGTCAGGTGCTTTTGTGATATTTAATGGATCGCATTACATTTTTTATTTCTCTCCGATATCCGATCCAGTAATTTAGGCCAGGATCGGACCGATACCGATACGTAATATCGGATCACCGACGCAAATGAATACAGAGCTCAACTGAGGGAGCTAAAGGTAATGCCATCAATCAATCGCCTAATCATAATACTAACTGCACCGATAAAATAGTATTATTGTGAACAAAAACATCTTTTTAAAAACATTATTTTGATTTTGTTTTTAAATCTCACTTGTTACTAATAAATGTGATGCCATACTACTAATGACCTACTAATTTTAATTCAGGTGTGTTGCAGCACTTGATCTATAAAGTGAACATCAACCTCAATTTAAAAATAATAGGCTGTGGGGGCGCTTGTGTACACTGATGGAGTAGGACGCACTCTTCTCAGCTCCGCACTTTTCTTCTTTTTTTCCAACAATTTAACACGACATTGTGCCTCTTTACTTAACTGGTCAACAGCACTACTGCTTTGCATCGACTACGATAAATACTGGACGACATGCCGCCTAAAAAAGATGCAACACACTGCCAGAAAGCAGTAGCTGAAAATTCTGCGAGCACCGACGCCATATTAGCAGCTATCGCTAGCCTAAAAACCTCTATGGAGACCCGCCTTGACACAATTGAGTCTACTTTGTCTATGCTCCAGGCAGATATCCGGTCATCTGAACAGCGTCTAGATCAGGGCTGCCCAATCCCAGTCCTCGAGAGCTACTATCCTGCAGCTTTTAGATGCATCCCTACTCCAACACAGCTGAATCAAATGGTTTGATTACCTCTTCAGCATGCCATCATGTTTGGCAAAGGCCTGATAACAAGCCATTCATTTGATTTGGGTGTGTGGGAACAAGGATGCATCTAAAAGCTGCAGGACGGTAGCTCTCGAGGACCGGGATTGGGCACCCCTGTCTAGAGTTGTGTCATCACATGGACAGCCGTGTTGTATGCTTGAAGCTACATACAAGACTAATGGCAGCCACCAATAACCTGCGTGGCAAGCTAGGCCAGATGGAGACGCGCTCGTGTCGGGCCAACATTAGGATTGTTGGAGTGAAGGAAGGTGCTGAGGGCGGTAAGCCTGCGGACTTTGTTTCATCCCTGCTGCTGGATGTGTTGGGGAAAGACAACTTTATTAAGCCGATAAAAGTGGAGAGGGCACACCGCACCCTTAGACCAAAACCAACGGCTGGCCAGTGACCGAGGGCTATCATAGCCCAGTTGCATCATGAGAAAGACGTGTGGCATGTCCTGCGTCTGGCACGCCAACGTGCACCGTTGAGCTGCGATGGAGAGAATTTGTCCATCTTCCCCGACTACACTGCGGAGGTCCTTGCACAGGCCTTCAATACGGTCAGGAAAAAGCTTAGCGCCTCCGGAGCGACGTGCAGTCTGCGCTACCCGGCCCAGCTTCAGGTAGTTCACAACAACATCACTAACACCTTCAAGTCCCCTGCTGAAGCTGAACGTTTTGCGGACTCACTGTAATCGTGACCTGGTAATATATTTGTTCATGTTGTTGATGCGGCTGTATTTTTGAACATTCTCACTCTTCTCTTCCTATAGTGAGAGTCGCGATTCGTTCAATCATTTTTTGAATGCTTCTGTGGTGCTAGCTTTCTATCATTGTTGTTTTTTTTTTGCTACGACGTCTTAAAACCTTTCTCTATCGTGAAGTACTGAGAACGTTTACATTATAACTTTGGTTATACACAAGTCATTTTATACAGGGAGTGCAGAATTATTAGGCAAATGAGTATTTTGTCCACATCATCCTCTTCATGCATGTTGTCTTACTCCAAGCTTTATAGGCTCGAAAGCCTACTACCAATTAAGCATATTAGGTGATGTGCATCTCTGTAATGAGAAGGGGTGTGGTCTAATGACATCAACACCCTATATCAGGTGTGCATAATTATTAGGCAACGTCCTTTCCTTTGGCAAAATGGGTCAAAAGAAGGACTTGACAGGCTCAGAAAAGTCAAAAATAGTGAGATATCTTGCAGAGGGATGCAGCAGTCTCAAAATTGCAAAGCTTCTGAAGCGTGATCATCGAACAATCAAGCGTTTCATTCAAAATAGTCAACAGGGTCGCAAGAAGCGTGTGGAAAAACCAAGGCGCCAAATAACTGCCCATGAACTGAGAAAAGTCAAGCGTGCAGCTGCCAAGATGCCACTTGCCACCAGTTTGGCCATATTTCAGAGCTGCAACATCACTGGAGTGCCCAAAAGCACAAGGTGTGCAATACTCAGAGACATGGCCAAGGTAAGAAAGGCTGAAAGACGACCACCACTGAACAAGACACACAAGCTGAAACGTCAAGACTGGGCCAAGAAATATCTCAAGACTGGTTTTTCTAAGGTTTTATGGACTGATGAAATGAGAGTGAGTCTTGATGGGCCAGATGGATGGGCCCGTGGCTGGATTGGTAAAGGGCAGAGAGCTCCAGTCCGACTCAGACGCCAGCAAGGTGGAGGTGGAGTACTGGTTTGGGCTGGTATCATCAAAGATGAGCTTGTGGGGCCTTTTCGGGTTGAGGATGGAGTCAAGCTCAACTCCCAGTCCTACTGCCAGTTTCTGGAAGACACCTTCTTCAAGCAGTGGTACAGGAAGAAGTCTGCATCCTTCAAGAAAAACATGATTTTCATGCAGGACAATGCTCCATCACACGCGTCCAAGTACTCCACAGCGTGGCTGGCAAGAAAGGGTATAAAAGAAGAAAAACTAATGACATGGCCACCTTGTTCACCTGATCTGAACCCCATTGAGAACCTGTGGTCCATCATCAAATGTGAGATTTACAAGGAGGGAAAACAGTACACCTCTCTGAACAGTGTCTGGGAGGCTGTGGTTGCTGCTGCACGCAATGTTGATGGTGAACAGATCAAAACACTGACAGAATCCATGGATGGCAGGCTTTTGAGTGTCCTTGCAAAGAAAGGTGGCTATATTGGTCGCTGATTTGTTTTTGTTTTGTTTTTGAATGTCAGAAATAATATATTTGGAATGTATATTTTTCATGGTACAACTATAATTAAAGTGTATTTATTTGTGTTTTGTTAGTTTGCATAATATGTCACATGTTCAGTCACCTGCACACGAAGAATTGCCCCCTAGAAATAGCTAAACTAAAACAAATAAAAAATATTTCAAACACTTCCTTTATATTAATGAGTTTTTTGGGTTCATTGTGAACATGGTTGTTGTTCAATAATAAAATTATTCCTCAAAAATACAACTTGCCTAATAATTCTGCACTCCCTGTATGTTTGTGTCTTTTTTTCTTTTCTTTTTTTACCCAATCAGTCGATTTATGGGTGTAACTATTGTTTTGATTAATGGAGTCTGGTGCGGAGCTGCTATACACGAAGGATGTTTTTTTCTCTTTTTCTTTTTTGTTTTTTTGTGCTCCTCTTCCCGGCAGTCCCCTTAATGCACGCTGGGATGGGCCACAGTGGTTCTTGTTCTTTTTTGCGGCCTTTTTCTTTTTGGGGGGTGGGGTTCAGTGTTCTTGTTGTTAATTTTGTTTTATGTTTACATCCTGGAATTGCAAGGGCTTATGCAGAGCTTTGAAACGTGGGAAGGTTATGTCACATTTGAAGCATTTATCTTCTGATATAATTTTTCTTCAGGAAACTCATATTCACTCCAATGAACAGAGATGTTTAAGAGCAAATTGGGTGTCGCAGGTTTACCGGTCCACTTTCACATCTAAGGCCAGAGGTGTTGCTATACTCATACGGAAAACCACTCCATTTATGTTTGGATCCGTCGTTACTGATCCGGATGGGAGATTTGTTTTGGTCTCTGGGTCCATTAACTCTTTTCCACTGGTCTTGCTAAATATCTATGCCCCTAATTTTGACTGTCCTGACTTCTTTTCCAAAATATTTGACCTAATTTCTGAATATACAATGTCTAATATAATAATTGGTGGCGATTTTAACTGCTATTTTGATCCTGTTTTAGATAGATTGTCTACAAAAATAGCCCCCACTACTAGATCCACGGCAGTTTTGAACAATCTGGTAAAATCACACAACATGGTAGACGTTTGGAGGCTTCAGCATCCAAATGACAGGCAATATTCCTTTTTTTCACCTGTACATCGTAGCTTTACCAGAATAGATTACTTTGTTACAGATTCTAGACTATTACCCAGTATTATCAGCTCTGCTTATCATCAAATCTTGATTTCTGACCATGTCCCACTTACCATGAAAATAGATTTTAATTTAAAGCCTCGAATTTTCAATTGGAAATTCATTCTACCCTTCTGTCAGACAAAAACTTCTTAAAACATAACGACAACGGTGAGGTCTCTGATTCCACTCTTTGGGAATCTTTTAAGGCAGTATTGCGTGGCAAGATCAACTCCTTTCAAACATTTTCGAAAAGAACTAGATTAAATCGTCTGTCCCAAATTGAGTCTGAATTATCAACATTAGAGGAGGCACTTCGCCAATCTGATACTGAGGACATATCTAATGCTAATCTAAAACTAAAACTCGAATACAATCATATTTTGGGAACCCAAGTCGGTAGCGATATTATTAAATTGAAACAAAGACACTTTGAGTTGGGAGATAAACCCCATAAATTACTTGCCAGACAATTAAAAGATGTGCAAGCCTATCGCACCATACACAAAATTGCCTCCTCTACCGGTGAATTAATTACTGATCCTAAGCTGATTAACGACAGATTTGTTGAGTTTTTCAGCACACTGTACTCTTCTAAATCAAACACCACTGACTCTGAGCTTTTTAGCTTTCTTAACTCTCTGAGTATTCCAACCCTTACAGAATCTGCCACCCAAGCACTTGAAGCTGACTTCAGCATCACAGAAGTCAAAGCTGCTATAGTTTCTTTCCCTAGCTGTAAAGGCTGCGGACCGGATGGGTTCAACATAGAATTTTATAAAGCCCATATTGATATAATCGCTCCACTTTTACTCAGAATGGTGAACTGCTCTATTGCACAGGGCTCTTTCCCTGATAGCATATATGATACCCACGTTTGTCTTCTCCCTAAGAAGGACAGAGACTACAACGAAGCATCTTGTAGTCGTTGTTCCAACACAGTGTGTTTGTTTTGATTCGTAGAGCCTGAAAATGGTGACGTGCTCCCACAATGCATTGCGGCGTGACGTCAACTCCAAAGCCCTATAGGCTGTGCGAAATTTTGCACTTATAGTATAGCATGTGTAAGTCTGTAACACCAAATCAAACTTGCATGTCAATTTTTCAATTTACCAAAATGGAAATGAGGTTTTATGGTTCACGCAAACTATGTTTATGCTATTAAAAAATTTATATATTTTTACCTTTTTATATATTTTCTTTGTGGCAAAAATGCTGACAAAATATACCTACACTAAATGTGTGTAGAAAAATATTGCTAAGCGCACCATGGACTAACTCTTCTCTACTGACCTTAACAAACTGTAGTTTCACGAGATCAGACAGCTGCTTCTCATCTGAATCATGCAGGTTGTTTTTACTCAGGTCTAGATGTGTCAGGTGAGAAGGGTTGGCCTTCAGAGCAGAGACCAGAGTAGCACAGCTGATATTTGACAAATTACAGCTCTCCAATCTGAATAAAGTAAGCAGATAAAATCAATGATAATTCATTCAGATGATTTCACGTTTTAAATGCGCAGCTCAGGATTACTGCAATCAAAAAATCAATCAGCTTCTGTGAAATGAGTAGTGACTATTCATTATGTTATTGTGGATCATAATCATCTCAGCTACACAGATGCAAAGGTCAGCATGACATTCAAACACATATTCATATCAACAGACATCATGCTGGTGACCTCTGTCAAGTCTCTTACAGGATTACACGATCAGTATGATATAAATATGTTAAACATATAAAAATATGTGTTTTAATCTCGCTTTCTTTGTGTGTGTGTCTCCTTCATTATCTTAAATAAATCAAATTTTCCTTATTTGAAAACAAAGTAAATTTCGGAAAAGAAAAATGAAAATATAATTAAAAGAAAATTTACAGCTTGATGGATGGAAGTAGAGTGCTTGGGAAATAAACAGATGTGTAAAGACTTGTTTAAAACAAAGCATTATATTGTTTATTAGGCAAATAAACTAAATGATTAAATACTCACTATTTGCATACAAATAATAACTAAAAAACTATTTTGTATTTCTTGTTTTGGCATTCCTGCTGGCATTCTTTTCCTGCACATGTCTCTTTGTTTAGGGAGTTCCAGATAGTTTCTAGCTGTTTCCAAATTTGATTCCACTATATCCCAAAGCTTCCAATAAGATACAAGTCAGGACTTCATCATGAGATATTTTATACTGAATTTCATGTTTTTCTTTACCCAAGTTCGAGCAGGCACATTGGACTTCTGTAACATTATTGTAATTATACGTAACAGACCCTAAATTAACTCACATCAGAGTCTCAAGTGTACACTTTGGACTCTCCAGAAAACCACAGAGCTGTATGATCCCTGAATCCTGCAGATTGTTGTCACTCAGGTCTAGATGTTTCAAGTGAGAGTGGTTGGACTTCAAAGCAGAGACTAGAGCAGCACAGCTGATCTCTGACAACCTGCAGTTTTTCAATCTGAATAAAGGGAAAAAAACAGATAAAGTCATTAATAATTCAAATAGCTGCTTATTATTTCATTTCCATGACCATTGATGACCTATATTGGACAGCAATAGACTCCTTTGTAAGGAGATTAATTTAATTCACAAGTCAAACAACTGAGATATCTCCAGAAATAAAAGCAATCCCATTGAAATAACCTTAGAGTCTGCAGTCTACAGTTTGAACTCTCCAGAGCAGCACATAGCTGCTTCAATGCTGAATCCTTCAGGTGGTTTCCACTCAGATCCAGGTCTGTCAGATGGGAAGGGCTGGACTTCAGAGCTGAGGCCACAATTTCATAGTGAGTTGCTGAGAGCCAACAGTTAGAAAGTCTGTAATGGCAAAAATATTAGAAAACATTATTATAAATAGGACATTTTATATTCATTTTGTACATTTGAGTTGGAGTCTTGCTGTTTGGCATTTTGTTATTCATATCAGTGGTTCATCAGTTTCACTTGGAAAGATGATCTCTTTGCCTGCTGTCAAGCAGTAAAGAAATTAAACCAAACATTTGACAGTATCAGATCTGAACCTGATTAAATATGATAACAATTAAATATGTGGATGTGGACTTTTAATATCTAAAAACATTCATGATAAATCCTGAATCTGGTTCTACAAGAGGTTTTTTTTCCTGTTCCAAGGGTGTTTTTCCTTCCTAATGTTGCCAAATCCTTGCTCATAGGGGGTCGTCTGCTAGTTAGGGCTTTCTCTGTATTATTTTAGGGTCTTGACCTTAAAATGTAAAGTGCCTTGAGACAACTGTAAATAACCTGCTGCTCCTGCACATTAAAAATCCAATTTAGGTGGTTCAGCATCTGATTAAAATGACTGTTGAATGCCTCCTAGGTGAGGTGATGTCCAACTGGAAGGAAGCTTTAAAAGAGAGCATTGGGAGGATAAGCATAAGCACAATTATTATCACATCTGGGCTCACCGAAACTTTCTGCAATTCCTCACAGCTGGAATCAATCTCCGCTGTCCCTCGGGTGATGTGTTGTATTTCCCAAGGTCCAACTCATCCAGAACCCCTTCGGACATCTCCAGCATGTAGGCCAGGCCTGAGCAGTGGATCTCAGAGAGTTTCTGCTTTGATCTGTTTTCTGACTTCAGGTACTCTTGGATCTCCTGATGCACTGAGAGGTCATTCATCTCCAGCAGACAGTGGAAAATGTTTATGCTCCTGTCAGGAGAGATTTCATAACTATTCATTTTTTTGAGGTTCTTGATGACTCTCTGGATGATTTCTGGTTTGTTCTCTGTCTGACCCAAGAGGCCTCGTAGCAGTGTCTGGATGGACTCCAGAGAGAGGCCATGAAGGAAACGAACAAAGAGGTCAAGGTGGCCATTTTTACTTTGGAGGGATTTTTCCATGATTCTCCAGAGAAACACATCCAAAGAGGAGCTTTTCATGTCATCATCATTATAATCATCACCAAATAAATGAGGAAAAATATTTAACAGGAAGTCCTCCACCACCTGTGTCTTCCTTTCAGTGTGACAGTGGAACATGTAGACAGCAGCCAGAAACTCCTGAATGCTCAGATGAACAAAGGAGTAGACTGGTTTCTGGAAGATCACACACTCTCTTTTGAAGATCTCTGTACAAACACCTGAGTACACTAAGGTCTCTGTGACATCCAGACCGCACAGTTCCAGGTCTTCTTGGTAGAACAGGATGTTTCCTTTCTCCAGATGTTCAAAGGCCAGCCTCCCCAACTTCAGGAGAACTTCCCTGTCAGCCTGCATCAGCTCCTGTGGACTCGTCTCATGTCCCTCGAGGTACTTGTTCTTCTTCCTCTTTGTCTGAACCAGCAGGAAGTGTGAGTACATGTCAGTCAGGGTCTTGGGCAGCTCTCCTCTCTGCTCTGTGGTCATGTGCTCCAGAACTGTAGCAGTGATCCAGCAGAAAACTGGGATTCTACACATGATGTGGACGCTCCTGGATGCCCTCATATGTGAGATGATTCCGCTGGACAGCTCTTCATCACTGAATCTCCTCCTGAAGTACTCCTCCTTCTGGGCGTCAGTGAAGCCTTGTACTTCTGTTACCCTGTCAACATATATGGGAGGGATCTGATTGGATGCTGCAGGTCGGGAAGTTATCCAGATGAGAGCGGAGGGAAGCAGATTCCTCTTGAAAAGGTTTGTCAGCAGCCCAATAACTGATGACTTCTGTGTGATATCAGACATGAGCTTCCTGTTGGTGAAATCCAATGAAAGTCTGCTTTCATCCAGGCCGTCAAAGATGAGCAAAAGTTTACAGACAGCGAGCTTCTCTGCTTTGACCTTCTGCAATGCTGGATGGAAAACATGGAGCAGCTCCAGAAGACTGTACTGCTCATCTCTGATCAGGTTCAGCTCCCTGAATGAAAGCAGAATCACCACACTGATGTCTTGGTTCTCCAAACCTTTTGCCCAGTCCAGAGCGAACTTCTGTACTAAGAAAGTCTTTCCAACACCAGCAACGCCATTCGTCAGAACCACTCTGATGGGTCTCTGTTGTTCAGGTAAGGCTTTAAAGATGTCCTGGCACCTGATTGGAGTGTCATAAAGGATCTTGGAAGCTGTCTCCAGCTGCCTCACCTCATGTTGGGTATGAACCTCTTCACTCTGTCCCTCTGTGATGTAGAGCTCAGTGTAGATTCTGTTGAGGAGGGTTCTACTTCCTGTTTCATCAGTTCCTTCAGTCACACGTTCACATCTCCTCCTCAGACTGATCTTATGTTCATCTAATACCTCCTGCAGGACAGCATCTGCTAAATGAAACAATAATCATTGGCCTCATTAACTAATATTTGCATGCACAATTTACACATTTGCATTTGTATTCTTACCCTTCGAAAAAATAAAGTGTTCCCATGCAAAAGCAGCATGCCAGATTCATGAAACATGATTACTGGCCTCTTTTGTTCTTACCACTGTGCGTTTGTTAGTACATCAGAGTTGCTCAGAAACAACAGACTAACACAATACAAGAAAAAGAAGAAAAAAGAAGGGTAAGAACCACGAACCCTAATCTATCAATCCCATGTGAGAAGCTCAATGCAGTGGAAAAAAAGAGTGTAGTGTTAAATGTATATTGTTGACATATGACTGGGTGCGTTTTGTTCTTATAGTTTATATAAATAAAGTGATCACAAGCAAGGACATCAGGTAAAGACAGCATTACAACTGATGTAGGGAGTGGTCAGAGGGAAGTGCAAACAAATTCCGGTACAAAAATATTGATAAATCATGGGTTTTTTTTTGTGATTTGTGTGTATGCATTGAGACCCAGCCTAACAAAATATAGTGAAAGAAAACAAATATCACAATAAGAAGTCCATTTTTCAGAAATGAGACCATCAGCAGATATATGTTAAGTCTTACTTTATACACTGCTGCTCTTACCGGTAGTCTGGAGTTCAGCTCCGGTTCTGGGTCCACTGATGTCCAAGGAATTCAGACAAAGAATTGTAGATTTGTAGAATTGTACACAGGTTGGTAAGTTTTTGAGAACCATTTCTAATTAAATCATCAGTTCAAACAATTGTACATAGGTACAAGTTATTTGGATATGTCACTATTTTTCCATGGTTTGGAAGAAGACCTGAACTGTCATCCTCAGATGAGAGAAAATTAAAGGATATTCCTGCCTGCCATGAACTGGTTTACTGTCCCCTGAGAACCAAATTTTACACCGTCATGGAATGAGAGAGTCATAACCTTCTCTAAAATCTAGGTTGGTACGCAAAACAAAACTAGAATTAAATGAGATAATTAATAAAAAAAACAAAATTCTTAGAACAAAGTCTACGCTTACAAAATTATGAACATGGTAATAAATTCAGTCAATTTCTAGTGAACCAACTAAAAATAAATAAAGAAAAAACAACTTGAACAGCTGTTCAAGATTCATGTGGGAACACAATATTATACAACATTTTCAGGGATTTCTAAAAACGAAATTGATCCGTTTTTGGACAATATAGCTCTTCCAAAATTATTAGACACTCAAGCAATGGCACTGGATATGTATGCCCAATAATGAGGCTCCAGGTACAGACAGCTTCCCTGTAGAATTCTACAAAGAATTCTGGACGATTCTAGCACCAATTCTTTACAGAGCGTTGTTGGAAATCAAAGAAAAGGGCAGACTTCCATTGAATATGAATTCTGCAGACATTAATCTCCTGCTAAAACCAGGCAAAGACCCTATATATCCCTCAAGCTATCGTCCAATATCCCTTATAAATGTAGACCTTAACATAATCTGCAAAACTCTCTAAAAGAGATTAGAGAAAATAACCCCCTCTTAATTCATCCTGACCAAACTTGTTTCATAAAAGCTAGGCACTCATCAACAAATACACGTAGATTACTTAATTTGATAGACTACTCATACAGTAAAAAC